TAGAAGATGAGATCACCCATGTAACTCTCTCAGGAGTCATGGTCTTTGCTCGTACACACAGTGGAAGCGCTAGCTTGTTTTTCATGTAATTCATGTGCATAAACCCAGCAGGGTAAGAATCGTGATTCGCATAATTACCAAAACCCGAGTCTACGTACTCAATTTGACCACCATATCCGCCATCGATGTGATGATGCAAAGGCGATGAATGATCGGAATGATGCAACGAAATAGACCCAGAACCATCCTCGTCGTCAGAATCCGAGTTGAAATGGAGATGTGACCCAGAATTGGAATTCGAGCGAGAGTGGTTAGCTATCCCAGGCTTCTTCTTCGGCGAACTGGGAGTTTTATTCTCATAACCCACATAACTACTGTCATCTCCTTTTCTCTGTGCAGGCAAGTTTAGCTTGGCGTCAGAAGCTGAATCAGCGGAGCCGACCGAATCATGTTCTTGAACGATAAAATGATGAAGCGAGTGACCTACCCCTTTGAGGGAGTGGATATAAGCAACATGAGCTTCAGCTAACGCGAACCTCATCTGGATTGCTTCATCGAGAAACCCACATCGGTCCCGGCATAGTGCCACCGCGGGGAGATCGTCGAGCTTCGAGCTCGTGCAGCCCATAGAGAGGGAGCCACACGGAGAGAGAGAGAGAGAGAGGAGAGAGAGAGAGAGAGAGAAAGAAACAGAGATCAAATAAATAATCTTATTCTTTCTATTACAAGAAGATAAAGAGAGAAGAAGAGAAGAAAAGAGTCCGAGTTAGTGAGAGAGGAAGAAAAACATGGCGGTGATTGCGATGGGGATAGTGAGTGTGATTGTTTCCCGAGAAAATTTAGGGTTTGAGAGAGAAGGGAAGAGGAAAGGAAGGAAAGGGAGAAGACAGAGGCAGGGAATCTTGCCAGCGGGGAGTATGTCGTCGCCTAGCAGCAGCAGGAGAGAAGTGAAAACACTGTAAGTACTGTGTGCGTCGGTGTATAATGGGTGCGTATCTTCGTATTATTTCTTTTAATTTTAAATTTTTTTAAAAAAAAAAATACGTATCTAAATTAATTTACAATTTTTAATAATAAATAAATAAAATTGGACGAGAACTGGAACTAGACAACCTTTCGTTGTCGTGGGTTCGGGCAGTTAGCACACAACGGATGAGATGAACGGAACCTCACAAATATTCTAATTCTGGTTTAGAGTTAAACAGAGTTTTATGTAAGAGAGAGAATAAGGCAGTGTTTGGTTTGCAGAATACTGTTACTATCTGCCGCTTGAAGTAATTTTTTTTGGTCGTTAAATTTGGTTTGGTTTAATTTTCAATTAAATTAATTGTTCTCGTAGGGAGACTGTGTAACGCACACCTATTCAGAGTCTTTTTAGGCTGCCTTTTTTTTTACTTCTTTTTAAGAAAAACCACTAAATATTTTATTTTATTTTATGATTAAATTAGTTAAAATCCACATATTAAATTAGGTGCTTCTGGGTTTTCGTAGATTAAAAAAGTAATTAGCTAACACACAACTTAATGAAGATTAGGGAATGATTTAGGTAATTTGTATGGATTTGAGTCCACTAAAAAATTATTACAAAAATGTTTTATGTATTTATGCCTACATATGTATTACATTTAATTATGAGATTTATATACTTTTATTCATGTGAGAATATTCATATCTTTTAATTTTATCTTCTTTAACAAAATATGTATATGATTTACATTCATAAAGTAAAGATTAAAAAATATATATATATTTTCATGTGCTAAAGAATATATTAAAATTTTATTGTGTATATAAAATTTAAAAATAACATAAAATATTTTTTCAAGCATGAATAATTTTCAATGAATCATTATGTTTTTTTTTTTTTTGGGGTTGAATTTGGGACTAATCAATCAAGTGCTCAAAGAGCCAATTAGAGTTTTTTTTAATTACTCGCGAAAGACACAAATCATATATATTAAAACTAGTTTATTTTTTTTTAACAATGATTATAACAATTAATCATTTATAATCAAGCTTCTTTTCAATCTTTTTTTTCTTTAAATTTAATAATATCACGTTAACAAAAATAATTAACGGGTCAATTTTGCCTCCTCAAGTCTTCACCCTTTATGCACGTTGGTCGTCAAATAAAAAGTAAAGTTCCAAGTATTAATTCAATTTTCTTTTTTTTTAAAAAAAAAAAAGATATCACAAAAAATAAATGAAATTAACTTAGTGTTATACATATTTAGACATAGATTCTTATTAAACTTAGAAATTAGGAGTTTAGTTCCCTTGATTGTAGGTCATTCAAATAGTTCAATTTGTGTAAATATTAAATGAAAAAGTTATACATATTTAAGTCAAAATTATTCATGATTTGTGTATTTTCTTGACCCTAACCCTCTTCATGTATAATCTATTGAAAAAAAAAAAAAATTAACTAAACATATTTTTTTTAATTAAACCAACATCATAACATATTTTATGTGATTTTTAAATATTACGTTAAAAATATGAGGTATTAATGAATTTGCTCCTTATTATAATTTAACATATCATGACTCAAGTTTAATTTTTTTTTTTTAAACTTAATCAGATTATTTTATTTTTTTATTAATTTTTAAATTTACATTAAATTAGCGACATCTCCAACTATTTAAATGTGATAAAAATATGTTTTTAGAATATTATAAAATAAGTGAATATATATTTATATATATTCAAATCATCATTCAATTCCATTGTTAAAAATTTTTCTCTAAAATTTATAAATTCAAACACAATGTTGTGAACCCTTTATCATGAGATAATCCATAATATATATATATATATATATATATGTTGTAATTAGTTATACTATTCCCATATGAATACTTCTAAAACTTTTCATGAAAATCACATGGGGAATAAGTAGGAAATATTGGTTGGCATTGTTTTTGGTGTTTTGAATAATTAAGGATTTATTAATTTACTCAATCTTCCATGCCATGCACATGATGAAACAGTTGGAAAAATTGTAGGTATGTGTGAGTGCTTCACTACTCCACTTCACTTTTTCTTTAAATATTCATTAAATGGTTATTATGTGCACATATAAAATAATAAATTAATCAAAAAAATACTACTTAGACATTGTATACTACCATACTCTACTAAGAAAATTTTAACATAACGAAAATTTTGTAATTCTGTACAAATTTAAAAACTTCAAATTTCAAATTACGTTATTTGATTATGATTCATCAGATGTTACGTTTTTTATTTTCATAATTTTAATAAAATTTAAATGGTATAAATTTTAAAAAATTTGATAATAATTAATAAAATTTTAAGTTCCAAAAAAATTTAATTAATTTTGAAGAGTTTTGGGAGTAATAAAATTAGTACTTATTTCACTATCATAAGTCAAATTAAGGTAACACATAATGAATTACGTATCCCAAAGGGCTAAATTTTGAAAATTTGAAAGGAAAAAAAATTGCAAATAAAACTCTCCACCCAAAAGAAAGTAAAGGGTCGGCATCTAATAGATATGGATGGCAGCAAAAAAAAAAAAAAAAAAAAAAACATTTGTAAATAAAGATGATAGGGACCATATAACAATATTTAATGGACCTAAGAAATATTATTACTTGTACCATATTGTAATAATAAATAAAGAGACCTCTAACTTATTAATTTTAAATATTACAAGACAAAAAAAATTATTATTATTATTATTATTTTTCCCAATTGATATGACCCAACTTATAAAAACTTGTATTCTTGGTAATCAGTCAAAAGCCGATTAGGATAGTAAATATATGCCAAGGAGAAAAAACAAATTACATGCCTTTGAGTCTATAATTATATGATAATAAATCAACTTAGTTCATTAAAAATATTATTTGTTAATGAATTAATTAAAAAATTAAATTAATTGGAAAATATAAAAGAGAACTAGCATAATCTTCTCATTCTTATAATTAAGTGATGAAATAAATAGAATTCATACAAAATTGTATGTTACTAAAAGAAATATGTTATTTTTAATTTAAGTTATCAATTGGTAGATTTTATATATCGCTAAATTAATTAAATAAATTGATTGTTTCTATATTAAATTTATTAAAATCAATTTTTAATTGTTATTATTTTTAAATCTTAGATAGAAATAAAAGTTAAAGTTAAATGAACAATGCTATTAATTATACCAAAATTTTTGTTTTAAAAATTACGAGATTACGGAATCAACTGTAATTAAAAAAAAAAATCAATATGTACTATAATATGAGTCTTTATAATTTAACAACAAAAATAGTAAATTATCTCAACAACATTAGCCAAATATCATATTATATATATCTCAAACAATCTAAACTACTTTCACCAAAATTTTAAAACAACACCAATTACTTTATATAAACAGTTCAATTTCATATGGTTTATTATTATGCAAGAAAATATTTTGGTTGGTGCCCAAATAAACATTAATAATTGTGAAATGACTTAAGTACGAAGACGGTTGAATGTAAATTAACTTTTTAAGTCATTAAAGTTATTTGCGGTTGCAATTATATATCTCTCTGATGCATCAATTTATTGATATGTATATATATATATATATACATATGTATATATATGTTTTTTTTTTTTTTAAAAAAAATATATGTTACTAAATAACTTTTTTTGATATGACAAGTATAAGCAGGTAGTAGAGGAGCCTTTTTTGTTATGAAACATTAGGTATGGGTATTGTAGTAATGGCTTACTAATTGCTTGCAACTTTCCAACACAATTAATGGCATAACATTATTGGAATATCTTGTCATATGCCATGTATGGTTCTTGGGTAGGTCTTGCTATTTATATGCATATACGTATGTATGCACGAAAGAAATTAAAAGTTGTATTCCATCGAACATGAAAGTATTAAGTTGGGTTTTTCCTTACTTATCTTTTTCTTTTCACTTTTATTGGAATATCTTGTCATATACCATGTGTGGTTCTTGGGTAGGCCTTGTTATTTGTATACACATACGCGCATATATATATATATATATATATATATATATATATACACATATACATATATGAGAGCTGAATTAAAAGTTGCATACACATACGTGGCCAATATTGGAGATTAATATATGAAAAGTACCAAGTTGGTTTCTCCTTATTTATCTCTCTTTTTTGTCTTTTCTCTAAATGCCATTATAGGGTGCAAAATTCAATATAGAATAAAATTATTTATTCCATTGCGAGAAGAACAATTTATATGTTTGAATTATTTTATAGAGTAATACCAAACGATTATAATAATTAAATGCTTGTACTTTATTTGATTTAGTTGATAATGTGTGTTTATGTTTTCAATCTAATATAATACTTTAGAAATGTATTTGGTAAATATAATTATCTTTTATTTACTTAAATTTACATGTAATAATATAAAATAATCTTTATTATAAATAAAATATGTTACGAGAAGCTCTTTTTCTACATTTAAATATTAATTTAAGGAATATACCCTTCTCTAATGATCATTTTTTCTTAGAAAGTCTGGGCAATACAATTTCGTCTCTCTATATATATATATATATACACACACACATATATATTATTTAAATGATTAATAGTTTAATTCTCTCTCGATTATAAGAATAAAGGAATTAAAAGTCTTGGATATCACTGTTCTACTATAAATTCTCGTGACCACTAAGAGTCAACGGTCAACAAAAAGTAGATATATATGTATATTTATAATATTTCTACATCTATGATATTCAAAACATTGCACATATATAGCAAGATATATAAAAATTTAATAGCTGAATATTGACAAGTTTATTGCCGCCCTAGTAGCCTCTTGTACTAGTATAATTTAGCATTTTGCAGATAATGTAATATATATATATATATATGTATATGTATCATGCATGCATGCATGTATTACATCCTACTACTAGAAAAAAAAA